TAGCAACCTTTCCTTCAATAAAGCAACAGCAAAACAAGACCCATTGGCTGAACCAACTAGATACAATTTAAATCTAAAATTCTAAGAGACAGGCAGCAATGTCCTTTTTAAAAATATTGTTAAAAATATAGAATGTTGTTATAATGAGTATGTAGTGTGGTTAACTAAATGCGCGGTAATATTTTAGTTTACCTAAATGTGCTAATCTAAGTTGAAAGCTTTATATTCTTAAGAGTTGTTGACACTTTTCGTCTTCAATTTCATTTAAACGGAACGTACCCAAAATTGGCCAGTAATTAATATTTATTTGTGCGTTATGGCTTCTAGAACTATCTGGTCCACATCCTTTTCCACAGAGAAAATCCATAACATCCGTGAGCGATTCCTTTCTTTTCAATCTTACAAGATAAGAGTATAATCTGAACTACCACAAACTCCCCAGAAACTAAGCGTTCGCGGTAAAATCCACTATGCAAAAAGTCTTCAAATAGCAACAACGTTATTTAAAAAACGTTAAATATAACGCCGACCTTGAAATAGAGGAAAAATTATTCGATCTCTCTAGTGTTATTCTGTAAAAATATTGCGTTTGTTGTCGTATTATGCACAATACACGAATCGATACCCCATTAATGTAGCGAAATAAACATACATTAAATTGTAATTCCTATGTTAAACATAAATAAGTAACGACAAAGTTAGGAAATAGTATAATGTTCTATAGTATAAATCTGGCCAAATTTCTAGAGAAGATAAGAAGATAGAACCCTACCGCTTCTAAGTTCTTAGTAACTCCAACAATATATGATATGTTGAGATAACATGTAATCTATGTTTTCATGGCACTACAACTATAAGTTTTTCGCCAATTCTGACCGTACAGTTTAAGAGTTAATATTAATGAAAAGCCGATAATTCCTCTGGAAAAGTCCCCCTTCCCATGGGATTTAATTACGTTAAGTAACTTGACAAAAACCCTTACTCTCGCACACGATTCCTCTTCACTACTAATTATACAGCCATGGTGTACGTCATTTCCTAAATTATTCAGACAGCAGAATTAATTTTGAGGCTTTTTATTCCGGGGCCGAACACACAGTTCCGTTAACCCCAAACGGGAGAGAAAAAATGTGTAATTATCTACAAATAATTTAATTATGCACCTAAACGGACCTAGGTTTTGACTATCAGGCCGAAGGGAACGAGCCCGGGTTGCAGTTAAATTATTTCCGCGAGGGGGCACCGGCCGTGCATCATGCCCGGCAATACTATTATTATGTCGTCCATATGACATAATAAAGGGATGAGAAATGCCGGTTTTCCTCTTGGGCAATTAGTACTTTTGGTAAACGAGGAAGGCATTTGGCCGAATAAACTTGGAAAATAATGTGATCCTCGTGTAATATTTTCGTTAGAGCAGTCAGCTATATTTTTATATAAAACTTTGATAACCGAAAATTACAAAATTTGGAGAATTATAATCACTCTTCGACGTGGCGATATCATTTTTTTCAAATCTTTTTAAATATCGGTTGAATATGAATAAATCTTTATTTTTGTGAACTTTAAAAGTACTTCTGTTGATTTGCAGTGGATTTATTTTATTTTTCAACACTTGTTTATTTAAAATCTGGAAAGGAAATTTGACTGACAATATACATATAATTACCAATGATTTTTTTTAATTCGATTAATATTATAATACGATCTATTTCTATATCATTATGTTAGATTTGTTCAAGAAGATCAAGCTAAAGAACTATCACTGATGTTTGCGTCAATTTCAATCAATGCGTCAATTGGCAAGAATTGAAGTAATAAAACTATTCAAATTCATACGTTTTATTAAATTTCACCAATCCAATATTTCAATATTAACTGAAATGGTTAAAGGTTCAGTGTAATAAACATAGCAAAAAAAACCTTAACAACCTTTATTCAAGTAAAGATGTAAACTGAACAACAACCAATTGCGACATATGGTGAACGAAAAACTGTTATAATCCCTTCGAGCCGTTGTGTGTACTATTGCAATTACTAAAATGTAAATGAACCCTGCCCATATTACAAACATATTGATAAAAAAACAAGCCCATTTGTAAGTATCCAGCGGCCCTGCATTCGAACCCGGGAACTTTACCTAACAGTGATGAGCACCTACCGTTGCTGCCACTTCTGCAACTTTTATTTAATTTGTAGAGAGACTTTTAGTAAAGCACAGAATCAATAGAATATAGCGGTTAAATTTCAGGCAATGCGATAATTCACAGTGACGTATGAGAATTATTTCATGGCAGAATTATTTTGTCGAACTTCGCCCCAATTGCACATACCAGAGGAAAAGTAAATTATAAAATTAAAATAGAGGTTAATATTTTTACCGACGTAATTTCAAGATCCGTCGACACGATTAAAAGTATTTATTGCTCAAACTTTTTAGTGTTACTTCAACTTGCAACAAAAGCTGGTGAACAAACCTACTAATGGAAAGACTGCACTTTAGTTGGTTTTCCTGGAATATTTTAATTTTGCTTATTTTGAGAGGAGCCATTAATTTTAAATTCTTTACGTTAATGTAATTTTGTTGCAAATATACTCAAAGATTTAAATAAGCGGAGACTCCTATTTTGTTGCTAATTTTTAACTATATGTATTTTTATCGTACTATGTCAATATATTTATTTTAATTTAAACCGAACTGAAGAGATCAAAAAGTCATGTTTTTTAATACAAATAATTTAATTATGGTAGTTTGAAAAAAATTTACCAAAACGCCAGAAAGTTAACCAGAATTTTATGATAGAATGATTTTAAGTAACAATTTATTACCTAGTTTTGCTTACAATAAATAATGCATTAAGAGTAAAACAAACAAGTTAAAATAAATTGTAAATTAAATTTTAATCTATCAATAAATGATTTTCCGGTCTTTTGGTGGATTTTCTTTAAAACAATAATAATAATTAAATAATAATTATATTAATATATTTGTATAAATAATAATTATATATTATATTACCCGATGTTAGTTAATGAGATGTGAATGCATATTGGTAACAAAACTTCCATAATAAAAATAAATTATTCAGAAATCGTGAGATGCGGTCTGGTGTGATGTAAGTTTCAGAAAAACATTTTCTTTATCGTGCCAACGTTTCGATCTTTATTGAGATCATCTTGAGAGCTCAAAGTGTTTGTCTTCTGTGTAAGATCGAAACGTTGGCACGATAAAGAAAATGTTTTTCTGAAACCTACATCACACCAGACCGCATCTCACGATTTGTGAATAATTATCGATTAACGGTCACTAATCACCACACAAAATAAAAATAAATTTCAAACAAATCCAGCGTTATTAATCATTTCATTTTTTTGCAAAAAAAGAAGTTGATCTAATTTTAGATTATTGTTTAATCTATCCATTAATCAAGCTAACCGCGAAAGCAAGTCGATAGATCGTCCGATTCGCGTTTTTGCGCTAGCGGTTCTGTGTTCGAATCCCATGGAATAACTCGAAAAATGTATTTACGAGTGGTTTGCCCCTTCGTCTGCGGAACACAACGGGAAGTTGGAAGTGAACCCCTCCCTTAGGTCTGGAATTTTTTTTTTTAAACCTTATCAATAATAATAACTATATAGATCTCATCTATAATCTAATATCATAGTAGTGCAATCATGGATAGTTTAGAAAATTCAAGTTATAAACTATTTACTTTCGTTTTTCAAATAAACGATATCAACACAAAACAACAAACGTTTATTAAGCCCATAAAATTCAAATATTGCACTTATTATGGGAAAATAAAATGTTTATTTGAAAATAGCTTATAAGTTCAATCATCGTTCAAACGAAGAGTGGATAGAATGAACTCTCATTGCTCAAGTGTCCCTTGTGTAAATAAAATTTGTAAGAGTAAAGAAAAAGGGTGTACTAAAATATTGTTTACCCAATATATACATATAAGAAGGTACATAATATCCGATTCACATTTAATTTTAATATTAAGGTCAGGGCCGATTCACAATCAATGTTGAGAGTCAGTCAAAGGACGTAAATAGGGCTTACTTAAATATTAAAAGAAATAATGTATAAGTCACGACTAAAACCTTCAATATTGTGTACGGTTAGTTTGTAATAACTAGGTTAGTGTATAATAAGAATAAAGCATATTTATATATACTTTATGTAGCATGCAGAGGTATGAAAATAAAAAAAAATCATAAATAGTGTTTGCCTTTTCATTATATTGTAAAAACATACATCAACAATTATTATTTAATATATACAGGGCGTACAAAATAATTTAATTTGATTCAATATTATGTACAGAACTATAAACAAATTCACATTGTTGGAATTATCAATTAAAAATAATAGGACTTGCACTTATTAATTTGGTTGAAGTTTCTTTAAAGTTAGACATTATATGAGTAAAGGAGATCACAAAGTAAATTAGACATATAAATGCACTAGATCGAGGGGTAGTAGCTTACAGCTTTGGCTTTGGGATGACAAAAGAAGTCACAGTAAAAAAACATGAATCACATACAGATTCTCCGAAAGTAAATCAGTTGAAAATTATTATGTCTTATTTATAATAAAAGAAATAAACTTTATATACCGCCGAATATAATTTATTCCCATCTTTGGGATAATCTTTGGCAATGCCTGTATATTATTAACTTATCATAGGATTTTCGTTATGTACAATTTCATTATCACTTTTTCATTCAAAAACCCTTACGTATTAGATAAAACTAGTACCTCGCCATAAGTACTAACAATTCGTTTTTCCGACTTTGCAAAATAGAGACTTTGGTAACACGAATTAGTCGAGATAATTTAAATAAAGTGTAGAAAACTAACATATAAAATAAGAATGAATACGGGATAAACTAAAATGCATTCTTAGGGTTAACAAAAAAAATGCAAAGTAAATGTTTAAAGTGAGGTGAAATGAAAGGATAAACATGGTGTGACCGTAGAACACTAAACATACTTTTTTCGGAAGGGTTAGACGTCTGTTCCGCATCCCTCTTGGTATCCTTCATCCGGCGAATTTCTTGTGAGGACCCTCTTGAGCGCGTTGACGGGCGGAAGAACGGGCACTCCCCTTTGCCAAACGCGGAGAGTTTTGGCGCTTGGGGGTGGCGCACCCCCTGGGATCGGAAGACCATAGTCCGGAGGGTAGTCTTCTACGTGTTCGACGATCGGCGTCCTGTCGCAGGCGTCCATGCTCGGCGTCCTCCCGAGATATCCTTCTTCCCAGACGCTGGCCGGGTAGAGACCGTCGTTCATCCGGCTGTACTCGCCGCTTCCGGGTCTTCCGTCTTCCCTCGTGTCGTTAATGAGGTCCGGATTGGAGATGGGCGCGGCGAACTGAACCGGATTCGAGACGCCGCCAAGTCCGTCGTAGTCGACGGGGCTTTCCGGCACTCTCGGCGGTTTCTGCACCGGGTTGGCCGTCTCTTTCCTTTCGACGAACGTCGACGTCTCCACCGTGACAGGCGTTGTCGCCTTCTGAGTAACGTTGCCGTTCGCAACGACTTCAAGTTGTCCAGGGGTTTTCGATTCCGAAAACGGTACACGACGCAGCCTCACAAGCAGCACCAGAATGACCAGGAGTATGAATAGGATTAAAATGACGAGTGCAGCGCTAAGACCAGCGATTTGGCCGCTACCGAGACTCGCCATACCTGCCATCCTATAAGATACGTGTACCGTGTAATTTGCCTCCGCGTTGCCGGCTCTGTTTTCAGCTATGCAGTAGAAATCCCCCGAATCCGCTTCTTGGGCGTTGGTTACGATCAATGTGCTTTTCTTGTCGAACGTCCCGTTTTCGATGATATGCACTCTTTGGTACGAACTGAATGCGGAGTTGTTAACGAGAAGCCTTCCGTTCCAATACCAACTGATAGTCGCTTCAGGGACTGAGGCGACCCTGCAGACAATAGTCGCGTTATCTCCGGTAGTCGCCTCCACATGTCGGCTGTCCAAGCGTATTTCCGGTTTGCAGGCGAAATCGTCTAGGTCCAATTCAGCGAAAGTGCGATGGACAATCCTTTCGGGACCTCCTTTGCACATCGGAGCTATCGGATAAGGGATGTTGTTATCCATCAACCAGATTTTAGCCGCTCTCAGATGACAGTCGCAATACCAGGGATTATCATGGAGTTCGACCCCATGTAGCCTGGAAAGAGTCTCTACCGTCCTGGGTCGGATTTCATGGAGTTGGTTTCCGTTCAATTTCAGTGCCTCCAGCAACTCGACACCCTCAAAAGCCTTGGGCGATATCATTTGCAAAGCGCAGTTCGAAAGATCTAGTTTCACCAATCCGGGCACGGTTTTAAAGGCATGAGACTCGATTTTTTGTATTGGGTTCCTCGCCATGACCAAATCCCTCAAAAATGGGACGTCTTTAAACGTCGCAGACGGTATGGTCGTCAAGAGGTTGTTCGTCAGGTCCAATTCGACTAGATTTGTGAGACCCGCAAGGGCTTGATCGTCGATCTGGCCTAAACGGCAGTTTCTCAGATACAGTCTCTGGAGGTTCAAAAGACCCGTCCTCACAAAAACCTCTCTCGGGAGAATCTGAAGATTGTTCCCGGACATATCCAACACTTGCGTCTCCGAATCCACCCCCTCTGGAATCATGATTAACGCGCGGTCCGTGCATTCCACCGTCTGCTTTCCCCCTTTCCACTTACAGACGCAAACCGGCGGACAGTTACCGGACCCGGACAAGCTGGCTCCGAAGAAAGAAGAAACCAATACGAATAAGAATATAATCATTGTTTCATGTGTTTTAACTCCGGTGGTCGAATCTCGGAGCGTATATCAATATGTCCCACTGATCATCCTCACAAATCACTACTCATTTTCCACATATCCGACGTCAAAATCATACAAAAACCCCTTCAAATAAAAATCACAGATATTAACCACTAGGAACACTGAACTGTTCGGTCGCGAAGAGGGGCGAGGGTAAGCTCGCGTAGAAATCGCACATCACTTGAAATTTTTTGAAACAATGACGTGGGTAAATAGCAGATGGAAAGAAACGTCCCGCACACCAACCAAAAGCAGACTGGCGAGGGGGGACCGAGCAGAGGCACGTCTTGCTTCTCGCCGGCCGGCGCTCCAAGCGGCTTCACTCTGAACCGGCTCCGCTCCCTTCTCTTCCTTCGATCTCTGTCAATTTTTCACGGACAAGTGAGCCCGACTCAGATCAATGGATCTCCACTTTTTTACACCATTAATTTCACAATCCATGGCTCCTCCCGGCTTTTCTTCGTACGTCTCTTAATCTCGCCCTTCGAATGTGGCACTGATCTGGATTTATCCGGATGAGTCGCGTTAGCTGACCCCAAATGCAATCTATATTATTCTCTAGTGCACATAGGTTCAACTTGGACTGGAATAATTTCAAAATTCTTTCCGTTTTCCGGCAAGAAGAGCGGGGTATTCCACTAATCCAGGTGGATATAAATAATTAGATACTTGCCTCAGATTTCAACTTTAAAATACCAAAGTTTGGCTCGAACGAACATCTTTGTTCTCCTGCTCATCAATATTGACGTAAGAAAAACATGGTTCCTTTTTAAAACTAAAATTATTAACTGCACGATTACTTTCAAATACAGGTGCTATTCATATTCTCACTATTTGTGCATAACATACCAATATGTTTTTTGGTTTTTTTAAATGACAAGGTAATGAATAAATCGAATGTTGCTTGAACATATTATAGATGCAAACAAGAGCCAATTTGATGTGTTTACCTACTCCGAAAATAGGGCACCTAAATGAGGTATTGAAACAGTTTTTGTCTGTCTTTCCGTACGTGCAATACTTCCTTCCACCATTAACCAACTGATAATTAAGTCAATTTTACTACTTTTCCCCAAAAACCATCGTCTCGACATTCAAGTTTAATGCTAGATTCCACAACTTGGGAAGTTTGTATGGCCTATCAATCATCCTTCGAATGCCTCAGCTGTAATCATAGGGACCTGATCGTATTAGCGCATACTTTATGCTTATAAGTTCCAAACTTTAAATATAAAAAATTTAAAAATTCTTCTTGCTATTTTAAAAACATTACAATACATACATTCCACAAAAAATATTAAATTAAGTTTGCTTAGTTTACTTTACAACCGTGTTAATATCTATGAATTTTAATTTTTAACGTACTAGTTTTAGCAAGCTCGCGTACACGTATTGTATATGTAATGAATTTTTTTATTAATGAATAATAATTAATAACAATTGTTTATTACCTTCATAACTGATAATGACCAATGGCTTTTAGTACTTATATTATTGCACACATTTCTACTTAGAAATATTTTTGGAAGATTACATTTTTATTCGAATTTATTTTTTGGCGTCAAAAATTTCTGTCTATAGATTAGGTTATCTCAGCATCCGCGACATCTGGATCGAGCTAGCGTTCTTTAAATTATAAAAAAAGACATTTTTTGTTCTGCGTCAAATGAGTCCTTGAATCCTATTAGGTGTCAATTTTGTTTCGTTTAAAAAGACTCACTCAAAAAAAAAAAAAAAAAAAAAAATGATATCCATTATGCTTTAATCCTAATGACATTAATTTGACCCAATCAGTGAGAATTCTCGAGCGCAAAGGTTTTTCAACCCGTCGATTCTTTTAATTATAATGTAATCACCAAAAAGAGATAAATTAGTTCAAGCCTAAGAATCCAAAGGCGCTCGGTTTTTTGTTCCTTTAACTTGAAATCGGAGATAAAACTGTCTGGTTCTCCTAGAATCTTTTTTCTTTTTTTATATAATAATTTGTCCTAAAATTACTCTCGGAAGAATAATGAATTTTAATATTTATAGATTATTATAAGGGAGGTTTTATAGCCTCCTTCAAATTTAAACTTTATCGTAAAAGTGAGAAAATCTTGGAAATATCATAGTATAGTGCCCATTGAATAAACCCAGAATCGCAAATCCAATCCGATAATCCCTATTCTCGATTTCCTTTTAGTCAAATAAAATCGACTATGATAAGAAAAAAAAATTCCAAGATAAAATCGTTCCCAACCCTGTCACAATCATAAAAACAGCAGAATACAAATTCACGTTTTACAATTTCACACGAATGAACATGAGACCAGAAGAATAGCACCACACTTTATATGAGTATAAAATGCCCGTTTCAAAATTTATATTATTTGCATATGTATTGTATAATTATTATTTCCAATCAACATAAATTTTGTAATTCAACCAATCCCTGAAAATTACTGGAATAAAGGTCGAAAAGTCGAAAAAAAGAATGAAAAAGGTGTTTTTCTAAAATACCGCCCCTCACTACTTCAACAAATTATTGATCAACCGGTCGCCAAACAACCCAAACTTTTCGTTAGATGTTTCTTGTTTCTTATTAAAATTTATTATTGGCAATAATAAAAAATAAAATAAAATAACCGCCAAGTATTAACAACTCGGCATTTCTTTCATATAACTATTCAGTAATTCAGACAATCAACCTTTAAAATTGGCCCTGGCGCTGGTACGCCGAAATTCAAAAACGAGCCAATGTTTTCCGCGCAATTATGGGTAAGATAAATTGGTAAGCGGGAGCATGAATGGTCATGAAAAAAACTGATTCATTTCACTGGCCGAAGGTTTTGATCCGATCTTTAAAAAGAGCGGTTTTCCTATATCTAATCTAAAGCCGATGCTACTTTCCCTTTAAAATGTTTACTAATGGACAGTTGAGGGATCAGAGTAACTCCTATGTACTTATATTCTATCGGCACTTCGATTTCCTTTCCATTTAATTTCCAAATTTCATCTTTGGAATGTTTATCTATCTCACTTGAAACCCCGCATGAAAACAATGATTTTAGATTTACTCAAATTTACATACATGTTCAAGAGTGTAATATTCACTTAATCGATTAATCGAATAATGTAATACATTTGGGTCAGTTGCATCAAACGCTACAGGAGATACCAAACTGATTGGTTTCAAATATCATTTTGAAGCGTTCATGCACATCAAGCATCAATTCGAATGTTGTTGTTCACCGAAGGCGTACATTAGCTTGCAAATGGTGTTGAATGACGCATAAGTGGTTTACTAACTCAATGCGTCGAGAAGATGTATTTTTAAGATTTTTTCAGGCAGAACGGATTTGCGACATAAAAAATCTGTTTTCTCAATTACCTATGCAATTTTAATAAACATTGAGGTCATGTTTAGGAAATACGTTAAATTTTCAAACTGGTAGACTTTTCAATGGCACCAACCCATAAATTATAGACACTGGAAGATTTTTGAATAATTTTAAAAATTTACTGTACATTGATGATAATGATTGTTTGTAGATCAAGTTTCCAAATAGTTGGAATAACAGTGATAAATGAAAAATAAATAATAGAAATAAATTTGGAGATAAATTTTACCAATACATGGAGGATGTGGAAAAGAAAGAAAAAAAATGAATTTATACAATGCTAGAGAAGTGGAAAAATAAATTTATAAACATTTATAAATTTGTAAAATTTAAACAATGTTTATAAATCCCAGGCCCTGAAGTTGATCTCAATAAAGATCGAAACGTTGACACGATAAAGAAAATGATTTTCTAAAAACCTACGTCACACCAAACCGCATCTCACGATCTCCAAATCATCATTGGCTAACGGTCACTAAACACCACACATTTATGATAATTCCGAAAGATCTACGATTTTAACAAAATTGGGTTTATTAATATGCTTTCGAGTGATATACTTGGTAAGATCGGTACTTTCTTTTTACGAGAACTGTGTTAGATAGAAACCTCGACTCTACAGTAGCAAGTTCTCCAAGTGCATTATATTGCTCACGGGTTGTCTAGCGGTTTCCTCACATCTTTTACTGTCACAAAACGCAACAAAAATTAACAATTCTCGCTGATTTTCGGCTGCATTCAATTTATACATTATAAACTTTTAGTTTAGAAGAAGTAAATGTAACGTTTGGAGTTGGTAATATACTGCGCCCTTTAAGAAGGGGTATTGTATCTCCAGTTTTGTACTTGTACAACAGCACACGGGCGAGTCATAGTACATCAATAAACTTTATTAGTAGGCCCGGTTTCAGTAGTTGAATTTCTTCTGCGGTTAAATTGTACATCTCAAACCACTTCCTCCTGCGGGCAAATGTGGCGCCACAGTGTGTTGGTGTCTCTTCTGCTTCTTTGCAGAATTCGCACATGCCCAGTTGTGCTACACAAATCTTCAGAAGTACATTCTATCAGCAGAATCCTGTTAACAATCTTGTCAGGATTCGACTTTTTTCCTGCTTCGTTTGATGCATTTTGTTATTTCTTTTCTTCCAAAATTTGCTAGAAGGTTACTGGATTGTTTGTATAAAACAGTTAATTCCATTGTTTTCCCCATTTTATTGGTGTCATTTTGTTACAGGTACTCATTGGTAGTGTGAATCTCTATGACATAGAAGGGTTTCAGACGTATCAGAGATATGGCAGCCCCCTTCATTGGCCCATTCTCTCGTTGCCCTCTCTTCCTACAAGTCGAAGGACCCCGCAGTGAGTGACATTATTTTGCCTAATCCATGTAGTTTAGTTTCAATTTCAATTCAATAACAATTTACAATTAGTGCTTTGATGGATGCTTGACTGTCTAACATGATAGCTATATTTTTGCCTTTGTATTTTGGTTCAGTTTGAAGCGGGTACATTTCTCTATTGCTTGTGTATTATTAGCAGGGCTGTCAGTATTTTATTAAAATTCAACTCTTTTCCCGATACAAAAATAACAATCAGTTTCCTTCCAAATTTTCGAGGTGTTTTCTCTTTTAAATCAGTCTTTAGTGAATTCTGTAACATTCAGTTTTCATCTAATGCAACACGTCTATCAATAATACAAATTACAAATCCCCCTTATCTTAAAACCATGATGTTTCATAAAATATTTTTGAAGGTTAATCTACACTTGATTGATTGCTTTGAGAAAAATAATGTACGCATCTTACTAAACATGGCAATCGACAAATTCTTAAATGCCACAGTTTTTGTAAAATTCGCCAATCTCTGGGAGACCTCCTAACAGCATAG